AAATTTAATGAGAGACATAGGACCTAGCTTTTAAGGAAAATAAAAATTCTTATTGAGACATATAATATATATAATACAGGGTAGGGCAAAAGTAGATTTACAATTGTGAGTACCCAAAACACGGAGTTGATTCTTGTATTATTATATTAATTACTAAAGGCCTGGTACTCAAAATTCTTGCGGGGGGGGAGGGGGGGGTGGTGGTCCCTCAGCCCGGCCTACACCCTCTCACAGTCTGCGATCACTCTTGCAGTCTGGGACCCCTCGCTCCTTACCACCTGCCTACTTGCTGCTCCTTAGCGCCAATGCAGAGGTGGGAGAGACTCCTGCCACTGCCATTGTGCTCGCCAGTCAGGTGTGAGCCCAGCTAGCGTCTGGCTGAGCAGTGCTCCCCCTGTGGGAGCACACTGACCACTAGGGGGCAGCTCCTGCATTGAGCGTCTGCCCCCTGGTGGTCAGTGTGCACCATAGCCACCTGTCGTTCTGGTCGTTCTGCCGTAATGGTCACTTAGGCTTTTATTATATACATTGTATTATTTTTTCATATAAACAACTGTAAAACAACTTTTACATAATACCCTGTGTTATGGCTAGATCCTCATTCTTGTTTTTCCTATATATTTTTGTGTTTTTTTTTTTGTTTTTTTTTTAAAATATATTTTATTGATTTTTTACAGAGAGGAAGGGAGAGAGAGATAGTTAGAAACATCGATGAGAGAGAAACATCGACCAGCTGCCTCCTGCACATCCCCCACTGGGGATATGCCCACAACCCAGGTATATGCCCCCGACCGGAATCGAACCCGGGACCCTTCAGTCCGCAGGCCGACGCTCTATCCACTGAGCCAAACCGGTCTCGGCGTTTTGTTTTGTTTTTAACAGAAATTATCACAACTAAATATTTGTGAAAGTAAAAAGAGAGTATTAGATATTTAAATGCTATATTTATTTACTATTTTTTTAAGCGGTAATGATCTTAATTTTTTTTTCACAGAGAACTTTCATTTTTTAAACCTATTACTGTTTGTTTATGTGGGTAGATTCCAGTTTCAAGTGCTTTTATGTCTCTAAGAATGGTACTAAAAGTTCCACCATTCTCAATGACAACACTATTTTTTTAATGTATTTTTATTTATTTCAGAGAGGAAGGGAGAGGGAGAGAGAGATAGAAACATCAATGATGAGAAAGAATCATTGATCGGCTGCCTCCTTCACCCCCCAGGGATGGAGCCCGCAACCTGGGCATGTGCCCTGACCGGGAATTGAACTGGGACCTTCTGGTTCATAGGCCAACACTCAACCACTGAGCCATGCCGGCCAGACAACGTCACTGTTTTTACAACTATATTTTACTTTTGTTACCTGTGCCTTTGGTGTTATATCAAGAAATTATTGCCAAATGCAATGTTGTGAAGTTTTTGCCCTATGTTTTCTCCTAAAGTTTTATTGTTTTAGGACTTACATTTAGATCCTTGATCCATTTTGAGTTAATTTAGTATATGATATTAGATAAGGGTCAAACCTCACTCCTTTGCATGTACATACCCAGTTTTCCCAGCATCATTTGTTGAAAAGACTGTTCTTTCCCCATTGAGTGAACTTGGCCCTGTTTTTATACAGACACTCAGGGAAAAGCCCCGAGACTCAAAATCTCCCTTCATAAGTGGAGGGCAGAATGAGACGGAAGAAAGAAGCAGGCCACTCCAATCCGGCAACTAATAGAGTTTATTAAGGGAAACTTATATATGAGGTGTATTTTGGGTGGCTGCAAGATGAAGTGGATATTTCTCTGGGTGCTTAGCAGGTGCCAAGGAATTATATAGGATGAAGCGGGGGGTGGGGGGGGTGGGGGGTGGGGAGATACCAGTAGGTGAAAGCTGTCAGTATGGGGAAACACTTTACCGGTACACGGTTGACCAGGTCAGGACAACAGCCTGTTCCAGGAATCAGCATGTAGCAGGCGGCCAGGGAAAAGTGCTGATTTATGTCAGAATGAACATTGATTACCATCAGATGGTCTCACACGTTTGCCGAGAGCAACCTCCTTTCTGGCCTGAGTTCAGCTTGTGGGACAGACAATGGCCACGTCATGGGATAGTCTCTCCTCCACAGCACCCTTGTCAAAAATCATGTGAGGCCCTGGCCGGTTTGATTCAGTGATTAGACCGTTGGCTGAAGGGTTATGGGTTCAATTCCCGGTCATGGGCACATACCTCAGTTGCAGGTTCCATCCCCGGCCTAGTCGGGACACATGCAGGAAGCAACCAATTGTCGTGTCTCTCATGTCCATTGTTTTTTTTCTCTCTCTCCCCCCTCCCCCCCCCCCCCCCCCGGCCCCAACTTCCCTCCCTTCCACTCTGTCTGAAAATCAGTGGAGAAAATATCCTCAGGTGAGGATTAAAAAAAAAAACAACCACGTGAGGATTTATTGCTGGGCTCTCTATTCATGTCCATGGGTCTGGGTAGTAAGGTGTTCGTCTTTATGCCAGCACCACACTGTTTTGATTGCTGTAGCTTTGCAAGTTTTGAATTCAGATAATGTGCGTCCCCAGTTTTGTTCTTTTTCAAGATTATTGGGCTCTTCAGGGTCCCTTGAGATTCCATGAGAGTTTTCGGATAGGTCTTTCTAGTTCTGTAAATCATCCACTTTTCTCAGAGACGCTTTTTTTTAATGCTCCAGCATGCCAGGTATTTTTTAGAATCCTCTCCATGCTGTCCTCCCTGCACACCCTTCTTGGAGCCCTCTGCCCCATCCCAGTCTTCACTGGTATTTTCCAGACCTGCTGAACGGCCAGCCGTCATCTTGAGCTTCCCTTGAGTGCTGTTCTTGAGTTGGAGCCACTTTTCTGGATCCCATGATAAGATTATCATTCCCCTGCTTACATTCCTCCAGGGGCCTCCCTTGGAGTCTGAAAGTCTGACCAGGCTCTGCCTGACCCGTCTAGCCAGCCTCCCTGCACTTACCGTCACCATCTCCTGCCCCCTTACTATCCTGCAGCACTCCTAACTCAGTTACCAAATAATGAATGATTGTTTCCAGCTAACCAATTAGTGTGCCCCTGCTGCCTGTTCTCATGGCATCCTGTGCGCAGAAGCCAATCCACGGTTTGGTCATTACCTCTTTACCTCCCTCCCATCAGACTGTCAGGCATGAGGTATGCCTGAGGTGTATATCTCTCCCACCTAGCACGGTGCCTGCCATTGTAGTAGACCAGTAATGGCGAACGTATGACATGCATGTCAGAGGTGACACACGAACTCATTTTTTTGGTTGATTTTTCTTTATTAAATGGCTTTTAAATATATAAAATAAATATCAAAAATATAAGTCTTTGTTTTACTATGGTTGCAAATATCAAAAAATTTCTATATGTGACACGGCACCAGAGTTAAGTTAGGGTTTTTCAAAATGCTGACACGCTGAGCTCAAAAGGTTCGCCATCACTGTAGACACTCAGCAAATATCGAAATGAACAAATGAGGGAACGGTGAGGCCCACATGTGGCAGTGAATGGAGGTTACTCAGTCAAGTCGGCACTCTGCCCTTGCTCTCCCTTTAGTCTGAAGTGTCATTCCACGCTTTTAAAGAACCTGCTCCCCTATGACATCATGGCTGGTCGTCGTGTATGTGGGGAAATATCATCAGGGTTGGGCTCTATCACCACCAGAAGAAACCCCAGACCCAGGGAAGAGGCAGGAGGGGCACAGCACCCATGGAAAGAGCAAAAGCCCCACACTTTGTGCTCACCATCTGGTGAGAGACCTGTGACCAGCAGAGGAAACACCACAGCTGGTTAAAGAGAGGATGCTCTTCCCCAGTCATGGTGGAACTCAGGCATTCAACTCCGCGGTCTGTGAAGTGCGTACCAGCCCTGTGGGAGCTGCCATGGGTCACAGAGAGGCACACGCATCTCACCTTTTAGAGCTTATTACCTGCTCAGGGAGATGATCACACATGCTGTGTTAAAAAGAATCGTTTTTAGTATTAAGACAACAAAATTGAGGAAATTTAAAATCTATTATTAGTAATTTGGTACCTTCCCCCATTTTTTCCTCCATGCGCAGTTATAATCATAGTATATGTTTTATTTTATATTCCACTGTTTCAGTATAATAAATGTAAGGATGATAATAAATTATCCTTAAGTTTATTTTATCTGTTGCTATTTACTTTTCCTAACAATTATTTTAAAAAGCTGATGTGATCTAACTATTCTCTTGCTGTTTGGCATTTATGTAATTTCCGAGTTTTTTTTTTTTTTTTTTTACAATAAATAGTGTTGTGATGCACATCTTCATTCATTCAGGGCATTTAAAAATTGGATTCTTTAAGTATCTATTTCTGGAAACTTGTGAAAGAACTTGTCCAGCCATTTTCTGATGTTTCTGTAGTAAGATCACACTCTCTTCCCAAATGATAATTTCATACCTTTTCCACTCTGCTCAGCCCTCCACTTCCCTCTCACATTCTCATTCTGTTTTGATGATCTTGCCTCCTGCTCTGTTAAGAAACCAGTCACCAGCTGGAGAAAGCTCATTTACATTCTATATAAATAGGGCTAGGTTCGGGCCACGAGTAACAGAAAACCCCAAAACAACAGTGGGCTAGCCAAGGCCAAAGTTTATTTCTCTCTCATGTACACAAAGTCCCCAACAGATCATTCCAGGCCTGTCATGGCCATCCTTGGTGTCAAGACCCACTCTGCTGGCTGTTTACTCCAATAGTACCCGGTTCAATGCTTGGCACATAATAGATTCATGGTAATTTCAGTTGAACGACTGAAAATAGCGTCCACTAACAGTAGAACATTATACAATGTTGGCTATATAGAACCAGACTGGTTTCCTAAGGAGGAGGTGTATTCTCAGTGTCCCTAATAATGTCTGAAGATACCAGTTTCACAACATCAGTCATGGCCATTGTGGTTTTCTCCCTTCTCACGAAATCAGCAGCAGTGGGTGCTTCATTCAACTTTCTTTTGTGTCCCCCTCTCCCCACCATGGGTGCCAGGACCAACAATCAGCTGCCCAGATAGCAAAAAATTATGCTTCCGAAATCTCTTAATGTCAATTCCACATGTAGAGCAATCAAGCTGCCCTACCTGTGCCACTCCTGACAGAAGCCCCTCTTTTTTCCTGTGTGTTTTTAATCACCAGAGAGAGTGAACATGTTTTTATTTTCTAGTTGTATTTCCTCTTTTACAAATGGTTTTGTTTCCTTTCTCTTGCTTTACTTATATATCTACCTAAACTTTTAAAAATGATGAAGATATTCTTTGTCGTGGACTACCCAGTATTTGAATATCTATTCTTGTATATACCTGTGTATACAGTTTTATGTGTAATTCACAGATCCTAGCATCCAGTAGGTACAGTGCAGTACTGAAGGTTGGTCCTCAGGCACACAATCTTTTGTGTTGGACACACCTGGGCTAAAATGCTGGCTCTGCTCTTTCAAGCTGAGGGATATGCCCTTTTCAAATCACTCAACCTTCCTGCACTTAGTATCCTCATCTGTAAAATGGTAATTATACTTCAACAGGTATATTTACTTTGAAAACACTTTATTTGTTGGGCTCATTTTTGCGATGTCATCTGTTACACAGCAAAGTTCAAAACTCTTCCCTGTGCCAAAAGCTTGATAAACACCGAATTATTATTTTTTTGTGCTTTACATTTTTGGGGGGTTCAAATATTACTCAATATTTAATTGTCTTTGCATCCGAGCCTTTAGGTGTTCTGACATTTGTGGAACCAGAGATCTCTGTAGACCAGTGATGGCGAACCTTTTGAGCTCAGTGTGTCAGCATTTTGAAAAACCCTCACTTAACTCTGGTGCCGCGTGACATATAGAAATTTTTTGATATTTGCAACCATGGTAAAACAAAGATTTATATTTTTGATATTTATTTTATATATTTAAATGCGATTTAACAAAGAAAAATCAACCACAAAAATGAGTTCGCGTGTCACCCCTGACACACGTGTCATAGGTTCGCCATCACTGGTGCAGACCTTTAGTCAGGAGAAGACTGAGCCCTGCCCTCAGGGGGGCCACACTCTTGTTAAGGGGCAAACACACATGTGACAGTAATTGGGAATAGGCCGACCTACTCTCCTCACACTAAAAGGAGTGGGTTAGCAGGGCAAGCTTCTGGGGCAGGCCCAGCTGGGTGGGTGCTAAGGGGGACCAGCCCATAAAAAGTGCTGAGATAGCACTGGGCATACGATAAGATGGGAAACCTGTTTCTAGAACACCTCAGGGGCGGGTATGGCATGGCATGGGCTGGAATGAATTACCTGAATAAACTGTGTAGGGTTGGATGACCGAGACCCCAACCCTAACTGGAGGTCTTGCTTGAGTGGAAATGGTGGATAGTTTGGCTGCTTTCTGGTTAATTCTTGGTCTCAGTTTTGCTGAGTGTTGGATGCAAGGTGACATGCCAAGAAGACGGTCACCATGGTCTTTCCACTCTCCACCCCCCCCCGCCCCCCCCGTGCCGAGTCCCTACTCCTATTGTAAGACCACATTTTCTGTTTAAAGAATAGATGCTTGCCCTAGCCCGTGGTCAGCAAACAGCGGCTCACGAGCCACATGCGACTCTTTGGCCCCTTGAGTGTGGCTCTTCCATAAAATACCACGTGCGGGTGTGCACGTACAGTGCGATTGAAACTTCGTGGCCCATGCGCAGAAGTCGGTATTTTGTGGAAGAGCCAGTATTTTGTGGAAGAGCCACACTCAAGAGGCCAAAGAGCCACATGTGGCTCGCGAGCCGCGGTTTGCTGAGCTGCAGTTTGCCGATCACTGCACCAGTTTGGCTCAGTGGATAGAGTGTTGGCCTGCGGACTGAAGGGTCCTGAGTTCGATTCGGTCAAGGGCACATGCCTGGGTTGTGGGCTTGATCCCCAGTAGGGGGCGTGCAGGAGGCAGCCAATCAATGATTCTTTCTCATCACTGATATTTCTCTCTCTCCCTCTCCCTTCCTCTCTGAAATCAATAAAAATATATAAATAAATCCATAAATAAATAATAGCTGCTTGAAGTGACATGTTCACAAGTGGCCACAAATGTCTGAAAACCCTAAAACTACCAACGTCTAAGTTCCTTCACTGCTCCAGGCTGAGGTCGCCCAGCCCCTTGGAATCTGCTCTGGGGATATATCCCTTGTTATCAAACGCAGACACTGAGCTTCCTTCATCCTCAGAGACCCAGGTTCTGAACTAGGGGCCAAAGAAGACCTAAGCTCTCCAGAATGAAAAGTATTTACTTCAGGCTTGGTCAGCGCTTGTGGATGGCCAGATCTGGATAGCTGACTGGTCCTGTGGGCTGTCTGTCCCCAGCTCAGGCTTCCAAATTCCCTCTCCTGTGTTAGCACCTACCTGTTTAATCAAGTTTCCCACATAATTCTTGCTCTTAAGAGTAGTTGGCCTTGGTTCTGACTAGCCATGGCCCAGGGTCCCTGTCTCACCAGCAGGCTTCTCCCTGGCTGACCAAAGCTGGCACTGTGCCTTCCTGGGCAGCGTGGTCGGGGTCTGCCTATGAAGGACCCTGTGCCCTCTCAGGTGTCCTCAGATCTGACTGATGTGCTGCAGGTTTGGGCACCTGCCTGTGAGTCACATGGTCCCTTCTGCAGAAACCAAACTGAAAGGCGCCAGGGCCAAAGGGCAGGGCCAGCTGCCAGCCCAGGGCCAAAGTCCTGTGGGGAGGGTTTCAGATGGGAGCTGGAAGCCTGGTGTAAGATCAAAGCTATTCAGACTGAATTGTGATTGGCCAGGAGAGAACTGGACGAGGGAGGGAGAGGTCACCAGCCAAGGGCAGTCGCAACCCTCCTGGCGCTGGCTCGTGTCACTTGGAGTCTCCGCTCCACCTCAGACGATATGAGTGACTTGCCCACAGCCACACAGCCAACCACTCTGGGCTTGAGCTTCCTGCTGTGCAGGGAGGATAACGATATCTGGACGGCCCAATCCTAGCCTGTGTCCCAGACGATAAAATTGGTTACAGTGGTATTAAGGAGCTGGAATTGGCATACATTAGAATGTCAAAATTGTAGGTTTTATTGCAGTTAAACTAATTTTAGAAATGGAGATAATCAGTGAAAATGATGAGAGGAAACCACTTTCAAAATGTTAAGGAATTTTTAGAACACGAGGAGTGAAATATGTATAACTTAAAATAAAGAATTAAAAGATTTTCAAAAATTAATTATTCAAAGAATAACTAGTACACAAATTCAGACAGTAGACTAAATGTAACAATCCCAGAGGGACGTGGACCAACCTGCAGGGAAGGGGCCTGGCCACCTGCCTGTGTCAGGGCCAACATTTTCCTTTAGGGAGCTGCACCTGGCTAGGGCAGTGATGGCGAACCTACGACACATGTGTCAGAGGTGACACGCGAACTCATTTTTTTGGTTGATTTTTCTTTGTTAAATGGCATTTTTTTAAAAAAATATATCTTATTGATTTTTTATAGAGAGGAAGGGAGAGAGATAGAGAGCTAGAAACATCGATGAGAGAGAAACATCGATCAGCTGCCTCCTGCACATCTCCTACTGGGGATGTGCCCACAACCCAGGTACATGCCCTTGACCGGAATCGAACCTGGGACCTTTCAGTCCACAGGCTGACGCTCTATCCACTGAGCCAAACCAGTTTCGGCTGTTAAATGGCATTTAAATATATAAAATAAATATCAAAAATATAAGTCTTTGTTTTACTATGGTTGCAAATATCAAAAAATTTCTATATGTGACACGGCACCAGAGTTAAGTTAGGGTTTTTCAAAATGCTGACACGCCGAGCTCAAAAGGTTCGCCATCACTGGGCTAGGGGATGGGGATTCAAGTCCAGAAAAGACTCCCTACCCCACCCCTCCAGCTCCCACACATGCTGGTGACAAGGCCAACCCGCTCATAGTGACCTGTTCTTACCGCCTGGCCTGTAAGCAGAGAGAACCACCTGTGGATACAATGGGTCACTTGTTTAAAAATTTTATTGGTACTTTTAAAAAGCAGGAATGTAACACATGCTCATTGTACAATAGCAACATGATTCAGATGCATATATAGAATCTGAGAGAGTATAGCATAAAAGGCCCCTCCTCAGCACCTCAATCCCAACCGCCCCGCGTAAATTATAGAGTCACCTTCGGGAGGAGTTTCCAGGCGTACCTGATTCTATGCACACATACTTGTGTAGCTTGTCTATATAAGCCATGGAAGAAGCATTTTATGATGCCGGGAAGGAGCAGCAGGGCAGAAAGCCCTCCCTCCCTGCAAATAAACACTTTTGTATTTTTTTAAAAGCACATAAATGGCAGTTCTCTCTGTTTTTCTAGGTTATGGATGATTTCAATGTTCCTTTTTGTGAAATATTCATCGTAGGAGAATCAGATAATCTGTAAATTACAAAAAAAGTTTTAAGCACCTCACCATTATTAATATCCTGGATTAGTGTGGTACTTTTGTTACAGTTGCTGCACCAATATGTATACATTATTATTAGCTAAAGCCCACACTTTACGTTAAGATTCATGCTTTGCTTTCTGCAGGTTTTGATCAAGGCCTAATGTCATGCATCCACCATTACAGTTTCATACAGAATAGTTTCACTGACCTGAAAAATACCTTATTCATTCTTCCTTCCCTCCCCTTGAGCCCCTCAGCAACCACTGACCTTGTTATTGTTTCTATAGTTTTGCTTTTTCTAGAATATCATGTAGTTGGAATTAGTATAAAGTATGTAGCCTTTATAGACTGACTCCTTTTATTTAGCAATATGTATTTAAGATTCTCTCATGTCTTCAGGGCTGGAATAGCTCATTTCTTCTTATCGCTGATAATATTTCATAGTGTGGATGTACCACAGTTTGTTTATCCATTCACCTATTGAAGGACATCTTGGTTGCTTTCAATTTTGAGCAATTATGGCTAAAACTGCTATAAACAATTGTGCAGGTTTGTATGGACATAAGTTTTCAACTCCGTTTAATTGAGATTTAATTTCAAGGCATGGTATTTATTGATCTAGCTCAGCTGAAATGAGAGAGAGAGAGAGAGAGAGAGAGAGAGAGAGAGGGAGAGAGAGAGAGAGAGAGAGAGAGAGAGAGAGAGAGAGAGAGAGAGAAAG